TTCCCATGAGTTAGAAAGATGTTCTCAGGTTTTTCCCAGCTTTATAATTTTTTACAATGAGATATTGGAATTGGAAATGGTCTATTAGAAATTAACTCATTACTTTAAAAAAAAACCCCACCATAAATGTTAATTGTTTTACCATACACCTGGGAGAAAAAAGATTATTAATAAAAAAGATCTATTAGATCACCTAATAAAAATAACATGTCATATAATACAGAGAAATGCAAGAGGCAGTGGCAGTACGGCCAGTTAGATAGAGGTCTGGCCTTAGAATCAGGAAGCTCTGTGTTCAAATTCCATGACTTCCACTCATTGGGGTGACCTAGAGCAAATCACTTTATTTTCTTGGAGCCCCAGGAAATTCTGTAATACTGCAAATGGCAAGGCCATTTGCATTTCCTCACTGTTAGCTTCTTGTACCAAGAAAATTACAGGTTTAGTGGAAAAAAAATAGTAATACATAAAAATGAAATATTATAAAAATGGAAAGAAAAGAAAGTTAATGTCTTTTTACTTTTTAAAATTAGTTTTGCAAATTATTGATTGGCTCAAATGTTCACCAACTTTAAATTTCACCTTTTAAGATAATCTAAAGGACATCTAAATGTATACACACATATACAAACACATATGTGTATATATATGATATACACACATGCCCCATCACATTTTTATCATTATTACTGCTGTTGTCAAGAATAATTCACACATGTGTAACTTTAAGATTTATAAAGTATTTTTTTCAATTCAGTTAATCAGATATTTATTAAGCACCTATTATATACAAGATACTATGCTAGTTGTTAGACTGACATAGACAAAATATGGAACAGCTCCTTAAGAAGCTTATATACTAGTAGGAATTATGGACAAAGTACAAAAATATAAAGTATGTACAAGTTGCTGTTCAGTCATTTTTCAATCATGTCCGACTCTTCATGACCCCATTTGGGGTTTTCTTGGCAAAGATACTGGAGTCATTTGCCATTTCCTTCTCCAGCTCATTTTAAAGATGAGGAACTGAGGCAAACAGGGTTAAATGACTTGCCCAAGGTCACACAGCTAGTAAGTGTCTGAGGGAAGGTCTGAACTCAGGTCCTCCTTGCTCCGTGCCTGGCACTCTATCCACTGCACCACCTAGCTAGCCCCAATAAACAGCTATTCCAAGAGGGAGAAAATACCAACTGTATAGTTTATTAGAAAAGTTTTCCTCAGTCTTAAATGTTACATGCTAGGCTAAATGGAAGAGATAGAGTAAGCCAGACTATATGCAAATGCTTCCTCTAAAGAAGAGAAAATAGAACTGGAAAAACCAGGTCTGCTTAATTCAATCAAGTAACACGTAGATTATTAATTGCCTATTAGTATGCCAGGCATTGCCATTATAAAATTAAAAGTGAAACTTTAGCTCCTGCCCTCAAGGAGTCTATATTCAATTAGGAGAGAGAACATACAAATACACAAGTACGTGTGCGTGCACACACATAGACACACACATGCACAAACACATGTAACCATAAAAAAAAAAGTATAAGCAAGAAACATTTCTTGCCTTTCTTTTCTTTCTAGTTTTACATATCTATAAGCGCATGTTTCAAAGATGACACTGTTGTGTGGGACTGGTTAAGAACTGATAAGAACACAACAGTGTTCACTTACCCCCACAGAATGGCTATTTGGAAACACACAAAACTCCCAAGTTTTGCTGCCATACAACAGTCATAAAACCATAGCTTACAATAGCTTGTTCAATATGCATAAGCTCAGTTTTTCTATATTTTTTAAAAATCAACGCAAATGTGACATATGGTTTCTTTCTTACTTCCTTTTTTTTGGAATGGCTTTATTTATTTCAAATCCTAAAATAAGGACAGTCTTCAAAACTTACATGCCCATTAGTAACAATGCCAGCAATTTAAGCTGTGAGGCACATAGTACAACTGAGGTGGGCAAGTTTTCCCTATTATGTAGATAAAAGGAACCAAAGCTGAGGGAATTTAAATGAATTCCTCTAAGTCACACACGATGAACGCTGTTATTTAAACTCAGCTCTCCTGAACCCAAGTCCAGTATAATTAACAATCTAGAACAATTGGCCAAATGTTTTAGTGGAAAAAGTGATTAACTTCAACTTCTTTGTTGGAAGGCCTCAGTTTCCTCATCTGTAAAATGAGAAAATTAGACTAGAAAAAACTCCAGGTTTTCTCCCAGCTTTATAAATACGATAACTCACCTCTTAAAAAATTTTAATATACTGAAAACAGATGCTAAATATTCTCTTTTAAAATCTGCTAATAAACTAAAACATTGTAATGATCTATTAAAATTATCTTTAAAAAAAATCCATTTACTTTCCTTAGCTTTTTTGAAATTAACATTAAAATGTACTAATTGCATTAATTCTCACTAAATATATAAAGTCAAGGATGGACGGACTAAATCCCTGAAATTTGGAAATTAAAGCATTCATTTAAAACATTCAGTTTTTCTTGTTCTAAAAAGGTTTCATTTTTATGGAGTTTCAGAAGTGAGGGCAGTTCCTTGGTAAAAACACAAACTTTAAAAAGAAAAACAGCTGACAACACTTTTAGAGCAGCTCAGAAAAGCAACGGCTTCCTTAAAACAGATGTGCTGGCACCACACTACCTGTCACACCCAATTACTGCATAAATTTCTAAAACTTGATTGCAAGCAAATTTGTCTAATAATTACTGATGGTTCTCCAGAAAATTTTAATTAAAATATTAAGGACTCAAAATTTCCTCAAATACATTTTGAAAAGTATAGCATGAGGACAATCACTTCTCAAAGGAAAAGGCAACAGTGGTTTAAATCAATTTGGTAATCTCTTGCTAAATAATAATAATAAATTTTTAAAAGGCAGAAATATTTTTCCAGTGCAAATAAGACCTTTAGTTGGAAGGAGAAAAATTATGTGCTTGTTACTTTATTTTTCTATTTTATTTTTAATTTATGTAATAAACATTTCCATAACATAGTACAATAAAAAATCACCGTACATGAAACTGCAAGTCTATTATGCACAACTTGCTATTCCTTTCAAAAATACAACAAAATTATCATGTACATTTTTTCTTCTCTTCCCCCACCCTCCCAGAGATGCTTATTACTTTAAATAAATGCTTGTTGAATGATGTGAATATTATATCTGAATTTAAGACCAACATATCACACGACCTACCCACATAACATGAGTACCTACATAAGAGAAAGTCCCTCTTTTTAATAAGAAAACAGCCCCAAAACTCTATGTGGCCTTCCATGTCAGTATCAGAATATATATAGTGTTTAGATTAGAAGGCCTGAGACTCTCTTGATAAATACGAATTCAATACATGGCTTCTTTTTAAAATTAATTATAAATCAGAAAATAAAATCAATATGTTATTTCTAAACACTTAATTCACATTTATGAGCTATACTCAACAACTATCTTCAAGAGCATTGTAAACAGATGATAAACAAATTGTAAACAAATGCAAAAGAAAGAAAGAAAGCGTGTGTGGGGGAAGAGTGAGTTAACCCTTCCAAAACTCGTAGGAAAAAGAATTCCTTGTTTACTCACAGAAGTGTGCTGCTGTTCGTACCTTACTGTTAAGGTACAATGTGGCAGCCAATCTCCCTCATCATTCTCTGGATCCAGAGAATTTACTGTTCTCTGTCCAATCAAAATGAAAACAAAACTAAACCTCTTTCACTCTCTGTCCCCTATCAGATATATCACAAATGCCAAGGGCAAGAACAGTTTCGGTCTTTCATCTATAATGTTTTGTACTATGTCAAATGTGATTTTATATCTAGGGATTGAATGCTTTCAAGAAAGGAATATATCTCTAATTACTGGAAAATGCTGAAAGTCCAAAAGGAAGTAATATTTTATCTAGATAAAGATCATGTCTGACTGTCTATCTATCATCTACCTATCTATTTATGTGTGTATAAATGTACACATATACATGTGTGTATATATACACACACACACACACACACAAACCTGCAGTGAATATATAAATAAGTAAATAAGACAACATATTTATTATTGCCCTATGAAATACAATTTTCTTAGCACAGGGCCTCATACAAAGTGAATGGTCAAATGTTTATTGAATCTGTTAAAAAATCTGGACTGAATTCTAATTTGATAATACGCATATTAAAGGGGAAAATATTGTGACATGATATTAGAATTTTGGAGCTGGGAGGGAGTTCACAATCTCTTGGTTCAGTCTCTTAACTAGGTAATATCATGGCCAGAATTAAAATTTGAGGGTTTTGACTTTCTAGTCCAATAATTTTTCTATTATACCACACCACTTTGCTCAGTCATCAGTGACAGAGAGAGGTTTGTCTTTGTAGGTACTGCAGAGCAGTTATTGTTATCCCCATTTTACAGATGAGAAAACTGAGGCTCAGCGAGATGAAGTGGTTTGTCCAGAGTCACATGACTAGTGCCAGGAATGGGATTCAAATCTAAGTATTTCCTGATTCACATTCCACTCTCTGCTATGATATAAAAGTCTCCCTACTAGTGCAATGAGGAAATCTGTGGAAAATGAGATAGCTTCCTCCCTCCTTCTCCTAGTGCTAAAAATTACTTTAGGAGATTAATATATATAGAATATGTTTCTTATATTATTTATTAATATTATATATTATTATATTATAATATTTATGATAACTACAGAATCAATTCATAAATTTCTTCATCATCACTGCATTCTCTAACAATGCACATACTTTATTCAGGATGCTTTCTATTTGTGCCTTTTATCCTCATCAAAGACAGCCCAAAATGTGGGGGAATGGAAGATCCATGCCCTTTGTCATGATCTGGGTCCTATACCTAGGCACAGTCATGGAAAAGGGATACCTTTTATTTTACCTCTGCTTTAACCTAGTATCATTTATAACAGAACACTCTATACAGTTGACTTCACAAATGCTGCTTACTGACTGAAAAAGGAATAATTTACCTGACTCCTGGAGATAACGATATACCAAAAAATTCACTTCGTCGCTGGTTATGCTCATCTTAGCCCCACCTCAAAATGATGAGGTTTATAAGAAGTGTGATCCACCCTCTGTTAAAAAAAAAAGGAGAAAAAAAGAACAGCAATTGGTACACTACCTCTTCTGATTGTATTTACCTTAGGAATTATGGAAGAAAATGAGAGACATGAGTATGTACACACATTAAAATTATCAGTTTCTGACATGAAAGTGTCTACTTAGTTCAAAACTCTCACTCTGGGATGTTACTTGTATATGCCCAGATATGTTCCACACTGAGGTTAGGTATCACTAATAAGAAAAGTCTGTATTTTATAAGCATAGAACTCAGTAAGAAATAAATCCCACCACATACAAAAAAAGAAATTTATAAGCATTGAAGACTGAAAACAAACTAATAAAAATTATGTTTTCACTGGGCTTTGTAGATTACTATACTCCAAAGTGACCATTAAAATAGTACTTTCAAATGTCTGCATGCAGATGGGTGTTGTTTTAGGCATGAAATAGTTTTTTGGCTAGTATTTTTATTGTACAAGATAAATGATAACATAGAGATATATTACTGCCCCCTCCCCCCTTTCTAGAACACATGCTAAAACTGAGATAACATTTTCCTAAGGGCACATACAATGACAACATTTCAATTCTAAATGACACCACAGGCCATCTAGTCCAATTTGTTCACATGGGAAAAATTAATCTCCTCTAAGCATAACAGGCAAATGGTCCTCCAGTCTCTGTTTGAAGTTCTCCAGTGAAAGGAAACCTTCTCAAGTAGTTTATTCTACTTTAAGGCAGCTCCAATTATTAGAAAATTTTTTCCTTACATCGAATCTAAGTCAATCTCTCTCAGCAGCTTCCACCCATTAATCCTAGGTCTGCCCCCTGGGACTCAGACGAACAAGTGTAATCCTTCTTCCACATGACAGAGCTTTGAATACTTAAAGAAACCTATCCTTATTCCCCTAAGTCTTCTCTTCTCCAGAATAAATATTCTCAATTCCTTTAACATGAGCCTCACGTGGCAAGAGCGTTTCTGTTTACCCTCCTCTGGACACATTACAACTCATCAATGCTTTTCTTAAATCGGAGAGCCCCAAACTGAACACAACACTCCAAATGTGTATAGCCTGGATAAAGCAGACCAGGAATATCACCCTTCTAGTCTTAGACGATGCCTCTCTTAATGTACTTCAAGTTTACCCTGACTTCTGGGCTGCTGCATTATGGTGCTGAATCCTACTGAGTGATTACAGAATGCTGAAACTTCAGTCTTTTTCGGATGAATTCTTGCCTTAGCTATACCTCCTCCATCTTGTACTTAGGAAGTAGACGTTTTGGAACTCAACTGAAAACTCAACATTTATCTCTACATAACTTCATCTGATGAAGTTCAGCCCAATGTTCTAATGTATTCAGATCTTTGGGCATCTTGACTGTATCATCCAACATGTCAGCTATTTAACCTCTATAATTAATTTATTGAAGGGGACAGTCCTCATTTGTAGTTACAGCTGTTTAAAACCAGTTGTATTAAAACATATAAGAGGTCCTCCTCTTAAAGTGATAATAGGCAAATGCCACTTAAAGCGAATCCACTTAAACCAGGGACCAACAACCCCAAGAAAATAACGAACAGAGCCTTTTCTTCCAGAAAATGAAGTAAATTATAAAACTAAGTTTATGTTGTTTAACAAATTTTAAATTATGATTTCAACTGCGATAACAGAATGAACAAAGAATGTACCAACTACTGGCCATGCAATTTTGTTTGTAAACTTAAACGAGATAGTATATCTTCAGCATTTTTCACTGAACTCTACACAGCAAGAACATAAAGAAGGTCATTTTAATAAAAGTACTCTGGGGTTTCATCATATTTCCAAAGGAGCTTTCTTAATGTTTGAAAAATGTTTTTTTTTTCAAATGAAGATCTCTCCCCCCCACTCTCTCCCCTATCTGCACCGTTCTTCCCCCACATTGGGAAAGCAAGAAAAACAAACCTCCCTGTTACAAATATGTTTAGTCAAGCAAAACAAACGTCCACATTGGCTACATAAAAAAAAAAAGTTTCATTCTGTACTCTGAATCTTTCTTATCAGAAGACAGAGGTCTATTTCATCATAATTCCTACTGGTCATTATGATGACCCAAATTCCCAAGTCTTGTATTGTTATTGTATGAATTGTTCTCCCAGAAAATTTGGAACTCCAAATCTTGTGGAAGTGAATGTGGAAAACTAAACATAAATAAATTAATAAAATCTGAAAAAGAAAAAAAAAGAAATGAATTATTCTCCCAGTTCTGCTAACTTCAGTCTGCATCAATTCATACTGGCTTTCCCAGGTTTCTTATTATCTTTAGTGAAATTATTGATTGTTTTTATGATTAATTCTTTGACCCACCCATTCCTTAGAACTAGCTTATTTAGTTAATTTTTAATTGTTTCTTAAGTGGTCCTTTATTGAATACAATTTTATTGCATTTGCAATCCACAAAGGATGTTAAGTGTTTACACATGAGGTTTTATGTCCTAATATCCGGTCAGTTTTTGCGAAGGAGTCACATACAACTGAGAAATAGGTGTACTTTTTTCTATTCCCACTCAATAATCCATGAAGTTCTATTACAGCTAATTTTATTTCTCCCTGTAATCCACATTTAATGTATATATGTTTAATCTTTATATTAATTCATTGTCAGTGGTGCCTTACAGCAAAAAAATGTAGTTTCTTTGTTTATTCTCTTTTAATTGTCTTTATTTTTGCTCCTGTTTTGTCTAAGACCATGAACACAACTTCTGTCCTTTTTTACTTTAGCTGAAGCATAACCAGGATATGCTGGTAAATGTTTAACAACCCAATACTCCAAAAACAACAATGGCAACGATACAGATATATACATGACACACTTTCAAATATAATATGCATTATTTGCATTTCTCTGTCACTTTCTTAACCAACTGTCATTTCCTATACAATCAACAAAATAATAAATCAAACCCTGATTTGTTGCATTTGCCTTTTCCCAAGTGTAAATGCTTACACTGAAAATTTAATAATGAGCTCTTGTGAGCTGGTAAAAGCCGGCTCCAACACATTCTCGAGTATAATAAATTTCGCTCCAGCTTCTTTTTGTTTTTCTTCTAAGTATCATATTGCTAGGTTTTGTTTTCTAATCCATACTATTTACTATCACAGTTATGATCGTCTATTTCCCTCTATCCTGTTCTCTTATACTTTTCTTTCCTTCTCTTTATAAAGAAGAGAGGAGTGAGTTCAGTACTAGTGTTCTAGGTTTGTTGTAATATGCTTGCTCCTTCTCATCTTTCCTTCACCCAGAGTCTAATAATAGGATTCCCCCTCCCTTTATTTCTTTTCTTTTAAATTTCAAAATTTACCCAGTCTTTGTTTTGTTTCGGATTAATTCAATGACGTTTCTTGAGCTCATTTGTATTTCCTTTAGAATCTGTGTCTAATTTTTTAATTAAAAATATTTAAACAGTAAAAATTAATGAAAACATGCAATCAAATAAACTTATAAAAAAACAAGGGACTAGATCTTATAGAAACCTTTTAGTCTTTAACAAAGACTGACCAAACAAATGGATCAATATTAGAAGGGGGTGGGGGGAGCTTCTGTTTTCCTTCCCTGACTGCTCTAAGTTCCATTACCTTTGGCCCTGTTTGTTTTTTTTTTCTTTCTGAGTCAGTCAGTCACCAGGCATTTATGAAGTGCTAACATTGTGCTAAGTGCTGGGAATACAAAGGCAGCTATAGAAAGGCACAGTTCCTGCCCTTCAGAGGAAACAAAATGTACACAACTATGGATATACAAGATTTATACAGGGTGAATTGTAATCTCAGAAAAAGGAAGTGGAGTTGGGGGTATTGGAAAAGGTCTTTTGCAGAAGGTGGTATTTGAGCTGAGCCATGAAGGAAGTAAAGATGAGGAAGGAAGACATTACAGCCATGAAGGACAGCTAGTGAAAAGGCAGGGAGAAAAGACATCCAAAAAAAGGGAAAAGGATCTATTTGTACAAAAATATTTATACCAGATTTTTTTGGGGTGGCTAAGAATCGGAAATTGAGAGGATGCCCATCAATTGTGGAATGGCTAAACAAACTGTAGTGTACGATTGTGATGGGATATTATTATGCTATAAGAAATGACAAGCATGATGATTTCAGAAAAACAAGGAGAGACTGATACATAGTGAAGTGAACAGAACAGGATAACACTGTACACAGTAACAGCAATATTGTGTATTCTCAGCACTACAATGATCCAAAAGAATCCCAAAGGACTTATGATAAAGCATACTTACCTGCCTCCAGAGAAAGAACTGATACTGTCTGAATACAGACTGAAGCACGTTATTTTTTTGCTTCCTTCCTTTCTTCTTCCCTTCCATCTAATGTTGTACAAAATAACTAATATGGAAATGTTTGACATGACTGCACATGTATAAACTATATTGGATTGCCTACTGTCTCAGGTAGGAGGAAGGGCAGCAGGAATAGAATCTGGAACTCAAAACTTTTAAAAATGTTTAAAAAATTGTTTTAACATGTAACTGGGGGGAAAATATATATATTTTCTGAAAAAGGCAGGGAGTTGGGAGATAAAGAGTCAGCAAGATGGTTGGTGTCACTGGATCATAGTATACATGCAGTAAAGTGTAGGATTGTAAAGGTAAGAAGGTACCAGGTTGCGAAAAGCTTTAAAAATCAACAACAGAATTTTATACCTGATGTCAGAAGAAATAGGGAACCACTGAAGTTTATTGAGAAGGGGGAGGAGGAATTCCTTTCCTTTTAATATCAACAATAATAATAGCTGAAATTTATATAGTGCTTCAAGCTTAGCAAAGCATGTATCTTATCTCATTTGATCCTTATTATCTCTATTTTACAGAGGAAACTGAGTCAGAGATTAAATGATCTGTTTAAGGTCACACATCTAGTAAGTGTCTTAGGATTAGATCTCAGGTTTTTCTTATTCCAAGTCTAGTGATCTATCTACTGAGTCACCTTTAGGAATTTTAGCCAGATTATAGGATTTAGAA